CTCCACCCTTTACACCACAGCTTAACGGCGTGTCAGAAAGAAGGAATCGTACCCTATTAGATATGGTACGTTCCATGATGAGTAACACTGAGTTACCTTTTTCATTCTGGGGGTATGCATTAGAAACAGCAACACACTTACTGAATAGGGTTCCAACTAAAGCAGTGCCTAAACCTCCATATGAGATATGGAGTGGGAAGAAACCACATCTTAATTATATTAAGATTTGGGGATGTCATGCTTATGTAAAGAAGCAAGATCCCAAAAAGTTAGAGGCACGCTCAGTATTATGCAAATTTGTAGGATATCCAAGGAATTCCATTGGATATCAATTCTACCACATCGATGAACAAAAGATAATTGTTTCTCGGCATGCCACCTTCTTAGAGAAGGAATTTCTTGAAAAAGAAATTAGTGGGAGCATGGTAGAACTGGAAGAAATTTCAGAGATACAAAATATTACTGATAAATTAGTGGAACCAGCAAATTCAGTTATACCAGAAGAACCTCAACCACTCCACAGATATCCAAGGCGATCTCATGCACCTAAGACACAATATAATTTTTTAGTTGAAGGTGGCATGTTAGATCACGTCATAGATGATGACGAACCTTTAAGTTATCAGCAAGCCTCTGAGAGTAGGGACTCTGTTGCTTGGCATGATGCAATGAAATCTGAAATAGACTCTATGTACACCAACAAAGTATGGATATTAGACAATGCTCCTAAAGGGGTGATACCCATAGGTTGCAAATGGTTGTTTAAGAAAAAGTTGGGTGTAGATGGAAAAGTAGAGACTTTTAAAGCTAGACTGGTAGCTAAAGGTTTTCGTCAAAGACCTGGTTTGGACTACGATGAAACTTTTTCTCCAGTGGCTATGCTCAAGTCTATTCGGATCCTACTTGCTATAGCTGCTCACTATGACTATGAGATCTGGCAAATGGACGTTAAAACTGCATTTCTAAATGGTGATTTAGAAGAGTGCATATATATGACGCAACCAGAGGGTTTTGTAGTTAGTGGGAGCAGTGGAAAAGCATGTAGATTGCTTAAATCTATTTATGGACTGAAGCAAGCATCACGGAGATGGAACATCTGTTTTGATGATGCTATCAAAGAGTTTGGTTTCATCAAAAATCCAGATGAACCATGTGTGTATAAAAGGATAATTGGGAGTATTATATCGTTTCTTATTTTATATGTAGACGATATACTCTTAATCGGTAATGACATACCGTCATTACAAGCGGTTAAAATTTGGCTATCAAAAAGATTTTCCATGAAAGATTTAGGTGAAGCATCCTGTATACTGGGTATTCAGATCTATAGAGATAGATCTAAAAGGATGTTAGGATTATCGCAATCTAGATACATTGGCAAAGTGCTAAAACGGTTTAGCATGGAAAATTCCAAGAAAGGTTTTGTACCTGCATCTCCTGGAATCTCCCTCTCTAAAAAGATGTCTCCCCGGACTGATGAAGAGAGGAAACGCATGAGTCTAATTCCTTATGCCTCGGCAGTAGGATCGATCATGTATGCCATGTTATGTACTAGACCAGATATCGCTTATTCACTCAGTTTGGTAAGTAGATACCAATCTGATCATGGAGAAGAGCACTGGAAAGCGGTCAAGAATATACTTAAGTACCTTAAAAGGACTAAAGAGTTATTTTTGATATACGGTAAAAGTGACCTCCGAATGGAGGCTTTTTCCGACTCAAGCTTTCAGAGCGATATCGATGATAGTAAGTCTGTATCAGGATATGTTTTCACCCTCAATAGAGGAGCTGTCAGCTGGAAAAGTTCCAAGCAGGATACAGTAGCAGACTCGACTATGGAAGCTGAATACATTGCAGCTAATGATGCAGCTAAAGAAGCTGTCTGGATGAGGAAGTTCCTTTTAGAGCTGGAAGTTGTTCCCACCATTAAAGATCCAGTACCTTTATACTGTGATAATAATGCTGCAATAGCTCTAACAAAGGAACCCCGATCTCACCATAAGTCCAGACACATTCTGAGGAAGTATCACTTGATCAGGGAGATAGTTGATCGCCGGGAGATCAAGATTGAAAGAGTAGACACAAAAGATAATATAGCAGATCCATTCACAAAGGCAATTGCTCGTTCACAATTTGAGAAACTTGTTGAGCTATTGGGTATTAGATACTATAATTGGCCTTAGTGCAAGTGGGAGTTTGTTAGATATAGGTGCCCTGCAGGCAATTATTGTATATTGTAACAGGACCTATATGTATATAACATCCTTGTTCAAAATGATAGTATGCTATTTTGGTCAGATTTATCTGATGTTCTAAATATACAGATAATGTCCTTAGAATAAATACTAGACTATCAGACATTTCGGATAGTGATCGTAATGAAGAGATCTGATTAGTCGGTAACGTATATTCTAAAATGTTCCTAGTTGATGAAGTGTTGAGATAGGACATCATCACTTTGGTTTAGACTAGTGTATGCTTTATTTCTCCTTTTGAAGGAGATGATCAATCTCTTAGATCATTGATGTGAGACATCAAGATACAGTATACAGGTGACTCATTAGTGAATGAGTTGACTGAACGACTCGCCGAGAACATCTAGTTGGTAATATACTTAACTGTCAAATAGAAGTTCTCAAGTGATATAGTACATAGTAGTCTCTTGACCTGAGGCATGAGTGCAATATCTTATATGTCAGTAAAGATGTATTTAGACTTTTACCTAACCACAGTTCTTATTGAATTGTGCATAACGGTTCTTGTTGGGTACATCCCGAGACATAAGTAGATATTGAGATGCCAAGAAGGGATTCGTCTCTCCCAGTATAGGGGTTGATGTCATAAGATTGTTTGATATAACTATAGCCTGGAAATCCTTGGCCAAGGTGAATAAGATAAACTGAGTGTCAGTTTGATCTTATAGGTTATGAGTTTAATATCAATAAACACTAATCAAGCTATTAGGGTTTGACAGTTTGCCATACCCTAGGCTCAATAGTTTGACATGGTTTGACGAAGAGACCGGACTGTACGGTATTATCATTGAGTGGTCCTGATAAAATTGGATAAGCATCTTGCAGACCTTTATCACAACTTATACCCGGGTGGTCTTCATGTGTAGCTAGCACCTCTGTTGTACTTATGGATATGATCCACTACCGAGTTTTTTAAGTTGGGCCCTAGAGTCACACCAAGCGCGTACTTGAATCCTATGAAACACAATTTATGGAGTGATGCGTATGATTGATACGCATATATGATTTCTTCCGGATACACATAAACGGTTATGTATATCGGTAAAATCGGAATGCTATGTGCTTAGGAAATGAATTCCAGTATTTTTCCCATAAAGTTAACTTTTAGTCAACTAGTTGACTTTTTGGTCAACAATTGACTTTTGGTCAACTCTTGATTTATTTGGTCATATAGTGACTAATTAGTTAAAGATTGGAATAATACTATATACCGTATTTATGAAATACTGTATTAGTGATAATAATTTGGTATTCTCATTTATGAAATACACATACCATGTATAATGAGTCATGAGATGAGTCACTTAGTGGTATGGTTTGAGCACATGGTTTATTAGCACATGGTTTTGAAATGTAATGATTCATAAGATGATTCATTGCATGACTCACTTGATTAATCATTAATTTTTGATGATTCATTGCATGACTCATAGGATGAGTCATTCATATCATGAACACATTTCACTCTATAAATATGAGCTCTTTTTCTTATGGAAAGGTTAATGAAAAATTGGCTAAGTGTTTTTTTCATAAGAGAATAAAAGAGAGCTCTCCTCTTTCTAAACTTTAGCAATCTTTGAGTAAGAGGAAGTAGTAGGATTTTAAGAACCCCGAGGTGGATATCTTGCCTTGTGTCTTAAGAAGACTCCCATTTTATCAAGCTCACTTGAAGACTTGGAGATCCACTACAAGGAGCAAGAGCTAGGGGTTATTCGATCTTCCATCGAATCACGCTACGAAAGTATGACTTTCTAACTCTTGTATATTCTCTTAATAATAAGGATCATGTTAGATTTAATTAGACGATCCATATGAATATTTCATGCTCTCTACATGCTTAGTTTTTTTTGTACATACATGTCTTCCGCTGTGTATTATGCATGTAGACATAGCACGATTTCCTTCACTCTGATGTAGAGATGTGCGTTAAAGTAAAAAAATTATAATTTCCACCCTATACAACTTCAAAGTTGAGCAGTTAAAGGACTCTAACATGATACCAGAACGATTCAACTATTAAGTCTTGCTGGGCATAAATTTAAAATGCACTTGAAAAAGACACTGAAGAAATGAGGACATGTTAAAGTACCAAATTAATAATTCGCAAACGAGGGTAAGGTAGAAAGTATGCAATTGTTCCTATTCATTGTATTAACAGTTCACCAACTTGTATCAGTGCACAAAATCCCAAGATGAAAAACCCCCAAACTCAACAAATCCAAAAATGTGAACATTAGGATACCATCATAAAATGGACTACAATTTCTCATTCTCATGTTAAGGAGATACGAACCAAGGATTTATTGGCTTCTATACTTAAAACAGTTACGGATTGGCTTTCGAGGTTGCATTTTCCGTAAATGGAGAAAATAATTTGCTAAAAAGATTGTCAGCCACAGGTCTATTTGGTTGGTTTACGGAAAAAAAAACATGAAATGAATCTAATAACTCGAAATCCATTTCGAAGGTCCCGGGACTGAAATGAGTTTCATGAAAAATTGAGGTTGCAGAGCTTTTTAAGATCTCTTTCGCATAAATTATCGAACAAGCCAAACATAGGAAATCCTTTTCGGCTTGAGATTTCCAAAGCTAATGCGGTAGCCATGGAAACCAATTTCATCATTTTGCAATGCGAACCAAACAGCCCAATTTCAAAACTCGAACTCCATCACTGCTCAGAGTTGTAAGGGAAGGGGGAAAAAAACACAGTATAAATAATAGTCTAATTTCATCAGCACCCTTAACTCATAGAAAGCATTGACATTTTATTACCAGCAGTAGCATCAATTAAGGTTATTACAAGGACACGACGACAAGATTGCTCCCTACCTACGACAGAAGAAAATCCTGACCATCTCCCTAGCCAAGCAATCTTCTTCCAACATAATTAAATCTATAAACTTTGGAAAACAAAGACTGGTTTGAGCCTGAAATGGCATCAAACCAAATATATAAAAAACTAGGCTGTCGACTGTCGAAGTGCCTCAATGATTATCCACCTATCGTCACTAATCAAGATCACTACAAGGTAAGAGGGCAGCCTAATTCCTTTGCTGCAGAATCCAAGTAATCAAGGTTCAAACCAGTGGCTTGACGACCGTGAGCTTCCCATCCTATGCACTTGTCAATATCTTCTTGCCAGTTGACGGTTCTGATGCTTACGCAACCGTAGGCTCCATTATTCAAAATGTTGGATTTCATTGGATTGATGCGCATGATGCCACGAAGAACTGAGAGGCTGAGAGCTCGGACGCGTGCACTTGGATGAGAAAGGAAGCGGATTGTCGCGGATAACCGGCGCTGCAAACGAGTTTTTGTTGTGATTCACGTTATTGATCGAGTCTAGAAACTGAGACGGGTAATTGGCATTTGTATATCTCAAACTTTTCCTTGTTTTGCGCTTATATATCATCACTGGTATTTCTCAGCACTTAAAAGCCCCGAAGTTATTTTTATAACATGTTAGTACCTTCTGTTAGACAACTGTTGGAATATTTCCCAAAAGATTCCCATGAGATTGTCATACGTTATGTTTAGGACACTTATCTGAAAATAACAAATAAACCTTACTCAACCCTATTTACATCTTCTCCCCTACCTAACAAATAAACCTTATTCAACCCTATTTACATCTTCTCCCCTATCTGAAAATAACAAATAAACCTTACTTAACCCTATTTACATCTTCTCCCCTACTCACTTCGCCCTATCTACCAAATTCCCATTTATTTCCCATTTTGGCTAGAGATTTTCAACTGAAGGTTCAAAAGTATGTACTCAGCTTCTAAGTCCAAAATCTATCAAATTGGTCTTGTACTCAGCTTCTAAGTCCAAAATCTATCAAATTGGTCTGGATCCCATGCAAATTAGGGGAATCCATTCGACCAAACCACCCACAAAAAAAAAAAAGAAAAAAAAAACATTTTTAATACTTTTTTGGATGAGTTATGAACAACAGTAAATATAAGGCCAAATTCATTAACTTATTTGATTGTTGATCAAGATCCAATATCCACCAAATTCGCTGATTTTCAAGCAAATTTCAGTGTCAAAAGTGTGGTTTTCATGTTAAATCAGAGCCCGAAAACGGTAGACGATGTAGGTAACTACTTTAAAAAGCCTCCGCCTAGTCTGCCTAGGTGATACCTAGGCCGCCTAACTAGCGCCTAGTGCCTAGACAGTACCTAGGCTGCCCAACTAGGTTTTGAGAGTGTTTAGAGGAGCATTGTCTGCTTAATTGGACCACCCTTTAGGCATCATAATTTTCTGTGTTGCAGCCTCCGCATCCTCCAACCTCCTCCAAACTCCTTTAACCTCCAAATATGAACCTCCACTACTACCCCCTCCGACCTTCAGCAAAACCTCTTCAACCGCTACTTAAATGAAGAAAGAAATCCGCCTAGATATCAGACCAGCACCTAAGCCTTCTATAACATTGACATTTATTATCAATTATTAAAATTCAAAAAATAAAAAAAGAAAACCTCCTAAACTCTAAGCATCAAGTCCAACGCCTAAGCCTCCTAGCACTTTCTGTAATATTGTTAGCTATTATTTTGGCTGTTTAGTATTTATACATGGTTTATTGTGGATCTAAGATTGCTATATTTGCAAATTTATATGAATTTAATACATATTTTTATCAATTATTATAATTAAATAATTTTAAAAATAGCCAAATGCCTAGGTGCCGCTTAGGCGCTGGCTCAAACGCCAATTTTACCAACTTTTCAAATTAGGGATCAATAATTTTTGGAAGGAAGGAGGGGAAACTGTGAAAAGGAGAAAAGAAAAAACTACATTGTTGAGAAAGGCTGTCAGTTTCCTTTATTAATGGAGGGGTAATTTGTTCTTTTACCCTAGAAAATAACACTACCCAGTGGAAGTAACAGAAAACAACTTACAAGCCAGGTAGACAAGTGCAAAACATGAGAAACTTTGAGGTCTTTAAATGCCAGTTAGCCAAATGAGATGGTATGGGATTGCAAGGTAAGGACTATACCTTCAGCAGATTTGAAAGTCCATCTGCAATGACCAGACCTGGCTCTTCCCACTCTGCCACAAGATGAACTGCTCTACATGTTACTTCCAAGAGCTGCCCAATTGTTTACATATGCAAAGAATAACTTCAATAGATAATAACTGATGTATTTTAGTTTCTAGTGAAAACTAATTGTGTTCATAATTCTAGTTGAATGGGCAAAATATTTTTGTAGTTATAACTTGGCCACAGGTCACACCAAGAGTTTCAACTTGGTGCTCAGGGGCTGAGGCCTAGCCAAGGTGGTTAATCCTAGGTTCATGTCCAAGCTATAATCTTTTTGAAAAATAGTAATAATAACAACTATAACTCTAGCTGCAACATTGGTTCAAACTACTATTAGTACTGTTCCTGCTACTGTTAGTACTTTTGCAACTCATAAACAATAATTTTAGATAGGACAAATTTTCAATTTCGACCTATTTAGAACGTTTATTGCACAAATCGACCCCTTTTGCACTTATTTTTCAAATTCGACCCAGTTTCAGCCACCTGGCTGAAACTGGGTCGAATTTGAAAATACATATAAAAGGGGTCGATTTTTGCAATTAAGTTTGCAAATAGGTCGAAATTGAAAATTTGTCCTTTTAGATATTATTATTATTATTGTTAAAGTTCAGGTGCTCAATGATAGTTGACATTTATGTTTTGTAAGGTTGGGGGCACGTGGTGCTCAAGGATCGTAATGACCATGACTGCTGTAAATTTGGGGATTAACTGTAGGGAACAGGTTAAAGTCAAAATCATCTGGTCAGTAAGTAATCATTTTTCTTTTCCACTGTAGTTGGATGAGTAGGGTTGATGGTCTGACTATCACCATGTCAAGTCATATTAATCATAACCTATAGTTGACTCAGGGTATCAAGTACGAGTATAAACCTAGGAACAGCCAATTTATCTGGTTGGTTTTATTTCCTGTAAATGACTTAAGGGTGATGCAACCGACAAAACAAGACCAGAGAATTAAGACTCGCGTGAACTCGAGGTCGACTGTCGCTAATGGTATGAATATGTAAGGGCAATGGGTATAAGTCGCACGCAAATTGAAGTTTTTGCGAGGAAGACTTTTGAACATTTTGGTGCCTAATCTGTTTTACAGAAACAACAGAATTTCAGGAAATGAACAAAAAATCTACCTTTCAAGACTTGTTTAATATGGAACTCTTCTATTATACTCAGTAAGAATATTACCTCTAACTGTGGCAAGGTGCAAGCTTCCACATCGACAAGCATTCCATCTGTGGCACGGAGAAGAAGGTCCGAAGCACTTGCCAGAATAACTAATGCTTCAAGATTATCATGATTTCTCATAACTTCCACAATTAAAGTAACTATTCTTTGGTTCATTGTCCACATTCCTTGTCCTTGTTCATCATCTCTTGCAATCCATGGCTGTAAAGCCCTTTCCGCCTGTCCAACAATGTAAACTAAAAAGTGACAAAAAAAATAGCGACAGTACAAGTAGGTAGAAAACTCTGCAACCTTACATTAGAAAAGAGAGAAATTAAGTTTTATCGGTATCAGACCTGAAGAACAATGGCAGTTGATGCTTTTGTTGGGGAAGCTGAAACGACATTGCAAAGGGCATCCACGACCTAAATAACAATTGAATAAAAGGTTGTTGGTTCACTAAGTGACTAACATGCATAGCAGTCAAATTCAAGAAAGAGAGATCTAGATAGCCCTACCCTTATTACTATTTTAAATTTGACTACACTGTATATTCATATGTTGCATTTGGATCAAGTCTAACTATTATATTCATTCTTTTCCTGTGACCTCTAAAGCTAGTGATTGCTGTAAGATAAATGGTTTCCTTATTGGATGTACGCGGTGTGTACTAATTAATAATGCCAGGTTTAAGATATTTGATCTGATAATGCCATCAAAACTTGGTCAATATGTTTATGGAGATCTCTTTTGTTAGTCATTATTCACGTGAGATCCATTTTGATCCAAAAGGATAAGCTATGATGATGAGATTCCTTTTGGTACCATGTATTTTTTTGTTTACATCATGATGTGTGTTCTGCTTCCTAGTCAGATTCCGGTATTTTGATGCTTACATATACTTAAAGTTCTAGAAAGCACCAATAAATGAAAGGAAATTTGGAGAACGACACATTATTGACTGTTAAACTGGTGCAGGACTGATCAGTGAGTGCAAGGTCGTGCTACTGTTTAGCATGAAATCTTTGTTGCCCCCTTCTTGATGCTTATTTAGGAATCTATCATCCATAAAATGATAATCCCTACAATGATGTCGTGCTACAAATTTTTCCTTGAACTATTTGCAATAGAAAACTGACAAGCATCAACTAGAAGTTAGCCTCAAATCTTCAAAAAAAATTAAAAATTAAAAATTAAAATAAAAAATAAAAAAATAAAAAAGAAAGAGGAGAGGAAAGAGAATGCTGCAGAACTTTATCCATAATACTAGGTATTGTCAGTAAACATTAAAAATGAAAACATCCCCAGCAAGGGAATACCATAAGTGAAAGTACTAAATAAGAAAATAGCAGAGGTTATCACGATAGAAAAGAAACAAAACAAAATATAGATAAATGACTCCAGAATTATTTACTCTTTGTACGATCACATACGTCTAGAGTATTCTTGGATTACAAATGTTATGTATAGAATACTAGGAATAGGTGATTGTTCAATGGATTTGCTACTCTGAGCAATTTGGGTTAACATTTCAAAATTCTTGCATGATTTCAAATAAAAAACATGCATCTTAGCTACGGATAAATTTTTAAAAAAAGATATACAAATGGAAATAACTATAAATGTAAAAGATTGCACGATTATTCCATGAGCAAATAACAGAAAAAGGAATTACATGGTAGGTTCCACAAATACAAGAAAAATACCTGTCTCCAACCCTGCTGCGCAGATGTACTTTCAGCACACATTTGTGTTTCTGGTGCTTCAATCAACTTGTGCCACAATAGTGATACAACAGAGAAACATAGTTCTTGTTTCTCTGCAAGTACAGATCTTAGAGGAGCTTGTGCCCTACAATTGTAACCCATTCTGCGATCAGTTGTAAGAAAATTTGCCAGATCTGATGCATCTTCAGGAAAATTCGCAACCCTTGCATCCGATGTGTTGGTGACATTGTTGTTTAACATCACAGTTTTCTCACATTCTCTGGATGTTCCTGAACTTTCACCCTTGGCCTGTAAAGATGAATTTTCCTTGCCTTTAGAAATCTTTGTACCTGTAGAACTTGTTTGCCTCATACCATTCAGAGGTGCACCCTTCCGAACTGATGCACATATCAAGCTTGCTTCAAGGGGTTCTGCCTGATTAACCATGGACGCAACAGTTTTACTATGTATGTCGATAAGGTTGTAAAGGGAAGAAGCTCTTGCAGAAATCTCGGTATCCCATTTGCATCTCATTAAATCAGAGAGGGCATTGACACATGCTTTTGAACGTCTAAATAAATCAGAAACATGAGCAGCAATAATAGCTGCAGTCACAATCTCATTTGAACTATAACTCCATGAGGTACCAACAGATGATGGTTTCAGTGAGAACAGGGCTTCTAAAATACCAAGGATTCTACGAGTATGACGGACTGCAGAACAGAAACTATTTTGCAGTTCATTAGCAATTCCATTGGTTTTTGCGGTCATCATCATTGCACAATGTTTAGAGTCTGGATGCTGTGTGCCATTTTTAGCGATTAAAGGTAATAATTGAAGTTCACAGGATAAAGCACATATAGCAGCCAGCACATATGAATCAAATGTTGTGACCGGCCCTTGTTTCTTCTTCTTTCTGGTTTTCATAGTTCTTTTCCCGTTGCTTGTTTGAGGTTCATCACAGCTTTCATCCAACACAAGGGTGTCATTACCGGCTGCATTGGGAGAGGCTTCATGACTGACACAAACAGCTAGCACAACAAACAACAAGCGAGAGGCGAGTTCCATAGATGCACAAGATTCAAGAAAGAGTGAGTGAATCATTGTTCGCAACTCAGCAACAGCTAAGTTCTTTGTGGTGGACCACGTTCCACCATGAGGTCTCGATTTTTTGAACTGCTCAACAGAGATTTCTGGCGGAAAGGTTCTTTGCAGTGTTGCTTGCACAGTAGCCACAAAGATTCTCATCAGGCATGCCTCGGATGGACTTCGCCGAGGGAGATACTCTAACACTTTAAGCAGTGGTAGGTACAAACTCCACGATAAAGCTGGAGGCTGCAGCGGGGTAGCAACCACAATTTCAGGCAAATCAACAGCAGATGAACTCAGAGGAAGAAGGCCATAAGCAGCTTCCCAGATGGTGCAAATTCTCCACTCAACATCGGGACCATGAGCGCATAGCATTGAAGCAATCCCTTGTGCAGTTGCCTCAATAGTGGCTTCAGCAACAGGTACTTCTAACTGGTTAAAGTTTCAACAGAAGATATATAAATGTTTGTTACAAATAATAGTTCTTGCAGCTTTCTAACTATTAAAATCTACATCTTATTGCTTAAGAAAGTGGAAGAAATATGGCTATGAGCTAATTGTTCTGACTCCTGAAATTGAGTTCATTTGCCGTTTAGTCAAATGACAATATAATGCAGAAGTCTCAAGGCTACCTGCTTCTTGTATGATGATATGTAGCCACCTAGAGGTTCATGGTGTACTTCAACCCCCTCAGCATGCCTTATGGGAGGAAAAAGTAATGCTGGTTGAGAAAGTATGCGAAAAAGTAAAGCACCAGCAGCATCTGCAGCAATACCAGCTCTCATTGTCATTGCAGTTCCAATTGCACGCAAGAAATGCAAATGTAACCAGTTCCTTGGAAGCTACAGGAGGAATAGCGAGATTAGCAGCTACATATTTCAATGGAAAATAGGAGAAACAAAAATCAACATTGTGATAGGAAATGTGAAATGAACCTTATATGCTAAGAGATAGTGGTGCACACATAATTATGGAAAACCGATTTGTGGTGAAAAAAGAAAATCATTAAGAATCCATCTTTTCTTTAGACTGAACCAGCAGGGACAACAAAAAGATGCTTGTCAAAGGTCCCTGCAACTACACCAAAACTTAAGCAACAAAGTTCAAATCTTACTGGCCACTAGGGGTGGAAATGAGCCAAATAATTAATAAACTATTCGGTTATTATTCATCAAGATATTCATTCATATTCAATTCCGTAGTTCATTTAATTAGTATTCGACTTATAAACGAATAGAATTTAACCAGAGATATATTCGATTCAGTTGATTATTAAAAATTCATTTATGCTTTATATTTATTCCTCTAAATTTAATTAATCATAAGTTTAAAGTTGCACTTGAGATATTCATCATGCTGACATATTTTATAACAAACTATCTATAACAAATAAATTCTTATTCTAATTTTAATCAAGATTATATTCTTAAGTTGCTAAAATAATTTGCTATAATATGAATTTTTATAGATCTAAAATCTGTAATGAGATGTTGTTCTACTTCTACATTATTGAATTATACTAACTATTTATGTTGCATAATATTATAAATATTAATGTTGATAAATATATAAATTAATAATTTCTAATCTAAACATATAAATTTAATAATTTTAGTTGTGACATATCATGATAATCATCATGTAGTTATGCAAAATGTAAAAAGAAAACAAAATAAATAATATGCCAACATAGGATTCGAAGCCATGACCTCATGCTAAAAAGGCAAACGCCTCAACCAAGTGTGCTAGCAAGTATTTGTGGATACTTAACGAATATTTGCCTGATTAACCAAATCTTCAACATGAATTCGAATTTGAGTTTGATAGAGCAAAGCGAATTCAATTTTGACTGTAAAGGTATTTGATCAGATTCAATTCGTTACCACCCCAATGACCACGATTTTTTAACTGGATTTTAAATAAAATTTACTGCTCCATCAGTATAGGTTTTGCACCCCATAAAAGGATGCTCAATCCGTGGGGGCATGATAGAGTATAAAATTATAACCCTTAACCCTCGCCACAACTTAATAGTTTCATGTAATGGAAGGGACCTTTGATATCAACTATACTAAATTTTAAGGTGGTTGCCTTCCTTTTTACCATAAATGGAGAGCAGGGTGACCATGTGCTAATTAAAAAGTTTAGGGGTAATAAGTTGCTAGCCCTCATAGTACTATAGGTGCATCTGCAATTAAACCTAGAACAAAAGAGTGATGGTCAAAGTAAAGTTTTAGGAGCCTCATGTGATTATAGAATAACTTTGAATTTGAAGGGAAAATTTTAGAAGACAACTATTAAACTAGCAATGCAAATAGTTTCGGTAGTCTCAAAGTGAAGTTGATCTCAAAGTGAAGTGTATCTTAAAATGATTTAAGATGGAAAATAGTCATAATGAGCTTGAACTTCTGAAGAAAATGCAATTCCTTAGAGCTATGGATCCTTTTGATAATTGTCGTGCATCTAAACAAGAGAACTCCTGATTGACAAGAAGAACTTCAAAAAAAAAACTTAAGAAAGCGAGTAATCAGAAACGCTGGAAACAGGAGCAATCATTGGAAACACATCACAGTTAATACATATTTCTGCATACCCTCATGCCAGATGCATAGTCCTCAGCTGCCCTGAGGAGTTCCACAAGTTGTACAGCAGCATCAAGTGCATCTGGAGCCCATGATGGTGGTGCTTCAAGAAGTCCAAGAAGAAGTCTTTGTGTAGCACTTGGAGTTGCAATTGCATAGTATCTGGCCCAAAATGGTTCAACTACTGGATAAAATATTTACAAAAGCAATGACATAAAATCAGTAAAGTTCTGGACAGTCACCGATAAAATAGACGAGCATATGGCTCAAGGGCTGGCAAGCCTGCTACTAGATGCTCGTCAAGGGCAGTTGTAGGAGGAGGTAGCAATAGAGCAGGAACAGCAGCAGCTGTAAGATTTGCAGTGTCATAGCGGACAACCTCCTCATCACAAACGCTCAATATAACACCGGCACCGTTAGCAACAGCCCATCTAGGGGTGGATGGCATAAGTTGAGGATGTTTTCCAGACCTACGACTATTACCTATATACAAGAAGGGTAATAGAAGATCCTACCTTCAATTCCATTGTTGAACTTAGCAACAAGTTAATAGAATGTATTAAGAAAATAGAACTTTCTTTTGGAAAACAAGCATGTAATCGCATGCATGCATCCACACCCACATGAGTGAGCATGCATAAACCCATGCAGTATCACACATACTGGCAAGCATGTGCGCAGACACGAAGTATATGACTGAATATCCCACACACAAAAAGTCCATCAT